CAAAGAAAGATGGTTCTTGGCGTATGTGTGTTGACAGCCGAGCGATCAACAGAATTACAGTGAAGTACCGGTTTCCAATTCCCCGTCTAGATGATATGTTGGATCAACTATCTGGTTCTAAGATCTTCTCAAAAATTGTCCTTAAGAGCGGTTACCACCAAATCAGAATAAGGCCTGGAGATGAGTGGAAGACGGCGTTTAAAACGCCACAAGGGTTGTATGAGTGGATGGTCATGCCTTTTGGGTTATCCAATGCACCCAGTACATTCATGAGATTTATGCATCAGGTCTTGCGGCCTTTTATGGGGAAATTTGTTGTAGTTTACTTCGATGATATCCTCGTTTATAGTCCGACATGGACTTCACACTTCGATCACCTCCGTGCTGTTTTTGAGATGCTGAAAACGGAGTGCTTGTTTGTCAATCAAAAGAAGTGTTCTTTCTTCACTACTTCTGTGACTTTTCTTGGTTTTGTTGTGTCTAATGATGGTGTTCATGCAGATCAGTTAAAGATAGATGCAGTCTTGGAGTGGCCCAGACCAAGAACCTTACATGACATCCGAAGTTTCCATGGCTTGGCGTCTTTTTACCATATATTCATTAGAAATTTCAGTACTCTGATCGCCCCTATCACAGAGTGCCTCAAGGGGCGTGATTTCCAGTGGTCTAAGGAGGCAGAGGCCAGTTTTCAACTGGTCAAGCAGAAGATGACCGAGGCTCCAGTTTTGGCACTTCCAGATTTTGACAAAGTGTTCGAGGTAAATTGTGATGCATCTGGCGTTGGCATTGGTGGTGTTCTGAGTCAGGCAGGTCGTCCGGTTGCTTTTTTCAGTGAGAAGCTATCGGGATCAAAGAAAAATTATTCCACTTATGATCTGGAGTTCTATGCCATAGTTCAGTCCCTGAAGCATTGGCGTCACTACCTAGTACAGAAGGAGTTTATTCTGTTTACCGATCATGAGGCCTTGAAGTACATCAATGGCCAACACAAGCTGAGTAGACGTCATGCCAAGTGGGTAACATACTTGCAAGAATTCACTTTTACGCTGAGGCACCAAGCAGGGAGTTTGAACCGCGTCGCAGATGCCCTGAGCCGTCGTACCTTACTTCTCACCACCATGAGTACTAAAGTTGCAGGATTTGAGACGTTCACAGATATGTATGCAGCTGATCCTTCCTTTGGAAGGATATTTCAGGAGGTAACTGAGGGTCACCGTCATGATTTTGTTTTGCATAATGGGTATCTGTTTCGTGGATTACAATTGTGCATTCCAGATTGTTCATTGAGGCAGCAAATTATAAGTGAACTCCATAATGAGGGACACTTTGGCCGAGATAAGACATTGGCCCTTATCTCTTCTGAATTTTATTGGCCCAAGTTTACTAGTGATGTGGCCCATTATGTAGACCGTTGTTATGTGTGCCAGTGGTCTAAGGGAGTTCTCACCAATGCGGGATTGTACACTCCCTTACATGTTCCTGAAGCTCCTTGGTTCGATGTCAGCATGGATTTTGTACTAGGCTTACCCCGCACCCAAAGGGCCTCTGATTCTATCTTTGTTGTGGTTGACAGGTTTTCCAAGATGGCTCATTTTGTAGCTTGCAGAAAGACTATGGATGCTGACCGGATTGCCCATCTCTATTTCAAGGAGATTGTGCGTTTACATGGTGTTCCTCGATCCATCACTTCAGATTGTGATACTAAGTTCATCAGTCATTTCTGGAAGAGCCTGTGGGGGAAACTGGGAACGCAGTTGAATTTCAGTAGCGCCTACCACCCCCAGACGGATGGCCAGACTGAGGTGGTGAACCGAAGTTTGGGAAACCTTTTAAGTTTGGCCAGCCAAAGCAGTGGGATTTGGCATTGCCTCAGGCAGAATTTGCCTACAACAGATCAAAAAATAGAACCACAGGTTTAAGCCCATTTGAGATTGTCTATGGTCAGAACCCATCCGGGGTGTTGGACTTAGCCCCTATTCCACGTATAGGACGTTTCAGTCCTAAAGCAGATGAGATGGCAAAGTATCTTCGGGGTATCCATGAGCAGGTGAAACAGACCATTCATGAGAGCAATACCAAGTACAAGACTCGGGTCGACAATCATCGTCGTCAGGTACTTTTTGATGTTGGTGATTTTGTTTGGGCTGTATTAACTCGTGATCGTTTTCCTGTTGGTGAGTATAATAAGCTTAAGGATCGGAAGATTGGACCTTGTGAGGTCGTGCAGAAGATCAATGATAATGCTTACAGGTTGCGACTTCCCAGTCACTTGAAGACTTCTGATGTCTTTAATGTGAAGCACCTGAGTCATTGTTTTGTGGATCCTGATGACACTACTCTGAACTCGTCCCGGGGTGACTGATGTAGGGGGATCCGAGACAGATGATGCTGAGCTGTCAGATTGCACGTTGATGGCGCTGAGATACCATGAGTTGGCAGATCAGCGCAAAGGCGGGAATTGATTGTGACATGTTCCTCATTGGGGGTCGTTTTGAGTATGTTTCAGTCTTTTGGCCATAACTTTGGCTACAGGTGTCAGAATCGCGCATAAGACCCCAATCCGGAAAGCTCTTTTCGACACGCACGCTCTCCATATTGAGTTGCGCTCCATTTGGCCTTTTTTTCAACCTCAAATTCTGCCATTTTCCCCTCCGAATCACTAGATTTAGTTATTTTTTACTATTTATGGTAATATTTCGATTGTTAATTAGGAAGTCAATTTAAATCCGATTTAGGCCGGATTTTTGGGAGATTGCTTATTTTATTTTGAATTTCAATTTAGAGTGATTTTTCGGGATTTTGCTATTTTTGGCAAAATTCGAATAAAGACGATTTTTTTGCTATAACAGTCCGGCTTGTGGACTGCTTTTTGGATAGTTTTGATTTTATAATATTTTATTAAACCCTAGAGACTTTTTCTCTGGTTTTTGGGCGAATTTTCTCTTGTTAATCGTCTGTCGGAGCTAGCCTACAGGATAATCACTATTCTGTCTGGCGTCACATTATCTTTAGAATCTAGCTCGAAAGCTCCATGAGATTTTCGCCCAACGCCAAGCCTTGTGGATGGAAATTGATAATCATTAGTGGCAATCTTATCCATGATGTCAAATGCCTCTACTGGTGATTTGTCAAGTAACGTCCCATTTGCCGAGGCATCTAACATCATCCTTGTTGGTGCGTTTACTCCATTATAGAACATCACCACCTGGGTCCAATCTTGAAAACCATGATTTGAGCACTTGCGAAACAATGCCTTGTATCGATCCCAGCCCCTCAGAACCATGGTGATCGCGAGCGAGTACACCGATAGCTAAGCGACCCTCAGAACTCGAACAAGCTGCATCTACATTAATTTTGAGGACATCAACCGGGGGTTTACACCAAATGTCTCCTGTTATACCACTATTTAACACCGATGGACTTGTAGCAGCTTGTGCTGCAACATATGAATCAAGGAAAGCTTTCCTGGAACCTACCACTTGCCAGCCGGGAGTCATGCAGCCCTCCATAACAAAATTGTTACGCCTCTGCCAGTTAAAATAAAGTAAAACAAGTAACAGGCAGTATTCATCCTTAGTCAAAACAGATTGCACTGTTTAAAATCATTCCCCAGTCGATAACTCTGTGCCGAACATCGTTAAGCAATTGAAACCTGCTGCGACAAGGATTTGTTTGGTGTCAATGCAGTCATGAATGGCATGAAGACAAGTCTCAGTGATGATTCCACACATCAGACATAATCCATTCGATAAACAATCCATTCGATAAACCAGCTAATGAAGTCTTCGACATACTTGAATGAAGGATGTTCGACATTTGGTGCTTGCATATTTCAAGTGCAGGTTAAGGTGATAGATGGCACTTGAAGTTGTTAAAAGGATTAAAGGACTGATAGATCTTGTTTTGTCTCAACTACCCAGGCCACATCCACATGCACTAAAATGAAATCATCTAATCTTTAGTTTAAGTTTGACTACTTCTACAAAAGGCATCAGCTCCACCATATATCTGTCTTCTTCCAAATGCAAACCCAACTTACTGCATTTATCACTTCCATCAAGCTTAAGAAAGAAAACCCAGAATTAATTTCCGGTCAATGGTTGAGATACTCTCTGAATTCTCTCTATAAAAAGGTATCTTCCTTGTTTCTTTCTCTTTCTTGTATTTGAAATTCTGGTTGAAAGATTCTTTGTTCGTAGAATTTTTCTGGGTTTTATTTGTAGTTTGTTTGATTACGAAAGAAGCTAATTCTGGGTTTTCTTTCTCGAGCTTGCTGGAAGTGATAAATGGTAGTAAGTTTCTCTATTTTGAATCTTTCTTCCAGGTTCATTTTTTGTATGTACTTTGGGTTTAGTTTACATTATTCTTCTGTTTGTTTCCTGAGAAAATTGCAAAAGACAGATAAAGACGAGAGTTGTGGAGTTTGTGGTTTTAAGCCATATTCTGTTCATTTTCGTAATCCGATCTCTGTAATTTGTTTGTAACTAAAAGTTTTTGAAAATCGATTGGTTATGATTCTATTTTATTAAATTTATATGCTATCCTATCTATTTTGTGAAGAAGAAGAAGGATGAGGGTTGACTGTCACATCGAAAGAAAAAAAAGAAGTTAGAGAAGAAGAAGAAGGGTTGACTGCCATGTCAACAATAAAAAATTAACTTAGGATTAACTACCACATCACATCAGTAAAAACTAACTAAAGATAACGCCGACAAAAATAAAAATAAACTTGATCAAAATATAAACTCTTTAAAAGTTCAGGGACTATTTATATACTTACTCAAAAATAAACTACCCAATGGCCAGCCTCATCAGGTAAGAACGTTTTTAATGCGCACGCGGAGTTCAAATGGAAACAGAAGAAGTGAAATTCATTTGTCTTTTGAAAATCATTTGTATTAATTGAAAGGGCAGGAAAGTGAGGGATGGGAGCATATACTTTCCCATTGCCGCAATTGATAATTATCAAGACTTGTTTATCAGCTATCTTCGAATCCAGGAATTCAATTTCAATGCAATTTTCTGAATTCCATCTGCAAACAAAATCAATCACTGTCATCATGAAAACAACAACGTTAGTTCCATTCTTGATCTGTGAATCTTTTAGAATCTCCACCAATTAATAAGCAAAACCAACTTCTTGTTTTTAAATAAAAACTTAAAATAATCTACTATATACTCCGTTAATCTGATTATCTGGCCGATCATGTTTGGGGCTGGGTGTTATTTTGGGCCATTTCAAAAGCACACACAAGATGTTCGATAAAAGTGTTGTTTGGGTTATTGTTTTTCCTTTAGTTTTTTTTAAAGATTCATGCACGAATTTCATAACAAATGTTCCCAGGATGAAATGAAACAGTGAGTACAATAATACAACTAAGTACTATGAATATGTTATTCATGAAAAAATGGAATTGGCTTCCATCTTAGAACCTAGATTTTCAAGTGGATGCTCACAACTTATTACATCCCTTATTGAGGTTCTTTTTATACGCATTTTGTTTTCTTTATTTATAAAACGAGCTACTCATGCAATGAACCTTAACAATTGTCACGTGAATTTGCCAATCAGCTCGTTTAATCTTTGTAGAGTTGTAGTTGGACACTGTTTGCTTTGACAACTTGGTTGCTTTGCTTATTCTTCCCCTTCTTGTCATCTGTAGCAACCGATTGCTTTAGAATGTATGCGTAATCCAAGCCTATTGGATTTCTATAACTTGATAAGATAATGTATTGGTGCTGCGTTCTTGTTAAGATAAAGAAGTGATAGTATTTTTTTTACCTCAAGTATTCAAGGTACTCAAGCCTGTTGACTTGAAACAACAACCATCACTACGTTCGTCCGAGTCTTCATTTCACAAAGTACCCATGTCCAAAGTTCATGTCCAACACATGGGTACAGAGATATGATTTCCATTGGTTCTCCAAAAATTTATCTATTTATACCCAAATCTGAGTAACATAAAACCATCATTACTGATGCTGGTGGTTCATCAATAATGTGATTTGTGACTGCTGGGGATGTTTTCTTTTCTGATTGATATTCTCTGCTGTGATCTGATGCTCTAGCTTGTTTATGTGTCCATTTGTTTGTTTCATTGCCGTGTTATTGAATGTGAAAGTTTTTTGTTCAGCCTCTCTGTCTATTGTTTTATATGTTCAGTGAATCAGTTCATTTATGAATAGGGATTGGTGTTAATTCTTTCTATAGGTATGCTTGCCTAGTCCTGCTGATTTTAGTAGAACAATTCCAGTTGGTTTTGAGTACCGTTTAAAATACGTTGGAAGCTGCTTTTAGAGACATCCGGTGCCTAAAATAATTGATCAGCTGCAATGGGTGCATCCAAAGGGCAAAAGCTCTCTGGGATGCAAAGGCAAGTACTTAGTCTATACAGAGGATTTTTACGAGCAGTTCGTTCGAAGCCTGCTGAAGATCGACGACAGATTGAATCGATTGTCTTGGCTGACTTCCGTCGGAATTCCAATCAAGTAGATCTAAAAAAATTCCTCTATATTGAGTATTTGCTTCGACGTGGTAAGAAGCAACTTGATCAGCTAAAGAGTCCTGATACAGTAGGGTTGTCATCCGTCGATGTCGGTTCATCTAAGACCAAATGCCGATACTTGAACACAATATGTATGTGTTATCATTATTTTCTTGAAAAAAGATTATCATTTTTAATTGATTATAGGAGGAAAAGAAACTCCATTCTGACGTTTTCATCGTATTGAATCTCTTTACTACTTTATTGTACTTAATACCGGCTGAGAAGAGTCTGTAATTTGACATTAAGGGAAGCGTTTCATGTGTTTTTCTTTTCTTAAGCATGCATTTGAATTAACGTCAGCATATTTTGATAAATGATTATGAAGTTTCATTTTTTAGTGTCACGTGAATATATAATTATATGCAAAATTTTATATATTAGGGTTTAGACTTGGATGGGTTTGTATTTAATTAATTATTAGTGAATAAATCTATATATACCTACATTTAATCATAACCTTATAAAAACCTTTAATATAAATAAAAATCATTGAACTTTTAACCGGTGATATTATATGCATCGTTAGCTGTAATAGTGAAATAGATGTAAATCATGTAGTTGATTGAATCACGTGTAAAGTAATCAAGGATGAAATTATAGGTGTTATGTTGCTTCACTTCGAAATTGGCATGACTTATAAAGATTTAGGTTGTCTAATTTAAAAATTAATAAAGATCTAAAAAGTCATTAATTAGGAAAAAGTTGAGTTAGGACCTAATTGCATCGACTTCAAACTAACAACGATTTAAAAGATCATCTTCTCGGTACATCTTCATGATCTCAGCACAGCTAGCTTCAGGCTCATCAGCTATGAAGCCCATGGCATAGGCATAGCGGGTGGTGGATGCAATACCGTTGTAGTTCGGTCGAGATCACGTCGTCACGCAGGCACGTTCATGATCCCAGTGATCCTCAGGGAACTGGTATTTTTCGGCATCATCGGTGTATCCCTCCCTCTCGTTGACAACTCGATCCAGGGGCGGATTGATGTTTTGATTAGTAGGGTAAATTGACCCTATTTGGGTCTAAAAAAACCCTTGTAAAAAGTAGCAAAGTTTAGGAGAGAAAAAAATGAGATATATTTTAACTCACTTGATCCACCACATAGATCCATTATGGATCCACTACTAGCTTATCGATCTTCCTTTGGTGGCATGCCACTTTAACCTTAGTATCTGCAAAAGCACATGATACTAGCAAACCAATATTCAAAACCAAAACACAACTATGAATCAAAACGCAACATTTTCTCATGCCAAAAGAATGGGGGAACTACAGTTCTAAACAACATCAACAGCTGCATCCTGGTCCACCATCAAGAACTAACATTTTTTTTACAGCAAATCTATCACCTTAAAATCATTTAAGTATTTATTATGTTAAAATTTTCTTTTAATTATTGACAACCTTAATTTTATTATAAATTATATTTTACCAAAAAATAATCAAATTCTCAAATGGTTTAATTAAAAAAATACTCAAGCTATACACCTAATTAACTTTAGGTCTCTAAAGTTTTTTGTCCAAGTAGATATTAATATTTTTAAAATTACCATTTCAAGGTCAATTCTATAGCGATCATTAATTTTTTTTATCTATACTCAAAACGTAATATGTGTTATGGTTGTATTTTTTTTTAAAAATATTTTTAAAAAACTAAATTTTTTTTAAAGTCTTGAAAAATCTAAAAGATCCTTTATCAATGCTTATTATCACCGTCGGTCACCATATTGTTGTCGAAATTCACCCGTCATCAGACCACCAATATCGATCATCTCTCATCAATTAAAATTCTTAAAAATGATCTATTCATTAAGTGATTAATTTAATAACTTTGTTGAACCAATTTGATTTTGATATAACACGATTTTTTAAATATTTTAATTTGTTAAAATTTGTAATTTGTAATTCTAATAAAATTTGTCATAAAATCTATTAAGTGATTTTTAATTGTGAAAAATAACATTAAGTGTTTTTAAATCATATTATACTTATAGACATTGTTTAAAGCTCAAAAATATTTAATTTTGTCTGAAAACCTTCCTCAAAAATATGTTTAAATCAATATCAATTTTCCATTGTGCTTTTAAGTTATCGATATCATGGTGTTGGTATTGATACTGATAGGTGAGTATCGATACTCACATAAACAATATCGACACCGAGGGTTGCAACGGCTATAATTTTGAACGTTTGGATGTTCGATTTCGATACTTACTACCGATATCGATACTAATATTGTAGGTGAGTATTAAATACTCAAAATTAATTAATTCAATGACTCTAATCAACCACCAACGGCTCCAGACGGTCTGAAGGGTGTTAGCAGACATGAAAAGGATTCAAATTCATATTCAGATTGTGAACAACAAGAAAGAAAATAGGAAGACAAACCAACATTAAAAGATTTTTTGAGCCAAAATTGTCATATTCTTTGTAATACCTTGTGGGCTAATTTGTTTATTTTTCTTAAGTGTTATTTGGGAGAATGCTTAAATTGTACAAACATATTTACATTGTGAGATTTTTTTTTTTGAAATTTATTTGTAATTCTTCTTGTGGAGAGAGTGTAAGCGATGTTTTGAGATATAAACCTTCCGTGTTGCTGTAAGATTACATGTTGTCCTTAAAAGTTAGCAAATCTAATAAATTTGAGAAATCCTTAGTGTGGATGCTAAGGTAGTGGATGTAGAAATAGTTTAGAAGTCAAAACACTCTAAAATCGTTGAACAAAAGTTTTATTTTTGGTTACTTCCACCACAAAATTTTTAAAGGTCAATTCATCTCCCTTTGGCGTATTTCGATTGATTGATAAAGTTAACAAACTTTTTTGTTATTGTATCATAAATACATATAATTAAATCAACAAGTTTGGTTCAAGTGGTAAGCAAATTGATATCGCTTAAATATGTCTCAAGTTTAAGTCATTGTGTATGCAAAAATCCCCATTGGTAGACTCACCCATTAAAATCAGGTTACGACGCGAATCGATCTAAATTAGTTAGGATAAAACCCTAAAATTGAAAGGAGATAAAAAATAAAATAAGATAAATACATATGATAATTTCATGTTATCTTTTTAACTTTTTTATTAAGTTAAGTTGATTACAAAATAATATATTTTAAATATTCTCAATCATTTAATAATGAACGCTTAATCAATAAATATATTGATAATTAATTATTTATTTTATAAAATTAATTTAAATTAATTTTTTTATTAATATGAATAAATACAATGCAATATATGTTCAAAGATAACTCTCAATCATTTAATATTAAACGCTCACCCCCTGACATTCTTGATACTCAAATTTGAGACCTCAAGAAATAACAATAATTCTTTCACTATTAAGATCGTTTGATTCCTGCTTAAATATTCAAATAATTTATAAAATACAATAATTCATGTGAATATTAAATTAAATATTGATGTTATGACCGGAAAAATTAAAAAGCGGGCCGGACAAAATAGGCGATTTTCCCGAAAAATCACCGGTGATCGGTATATTTACCGATCTAACACCGGTCAGATTATATTTCCCGATCTAACATCCGTCGCAGTAAAGCGCGCCCCCTGAACCGCGCTATATGTTGATTTGGCGCCACATGGAGTATAGCGCCCCTCCTGAACCGCACTATACGCTGACTGGGTTACACGTGGGGTATAGCGCTCCCCTTGATCCGCGCTATACGCCACGTAAGGGTATAGCGCGGATCAGGGGCCGCGCTATACGCCATACCAAAATTATATTTAACGTTGTCCCTGATCCACGCTATATAATTACATATAACGCGGTGCAGGTACCGCGCCTTATATGCTTATAAATACACTCATCCGGCTCACATCTCCTCGCATCTCTCCTCTCTTATAAATTAATACAACAATTCCGTCAACGAATAATAATTTTGGCAATCTTCTCAAATTTGATTTAGAAGTTCGTGCGATTTTTCGTTATAAGGTAATTTTGTTATAATTTTTTAATTATACTTATTGTTTATTATCATTATTTGAAAAATATTATATTAATTATTTTTAATTAATTTTTATGTTTGTAAAATTGAAAAGCGGGAGCATACGTCGAAATAGTTTTGCGGTGCAGGTAATAATATAAAATTATATTATTTAAATTATTTACGTTGATGTGTAAAAAATTTATTGTGTTATATTTTCGTTCATATATAATTTATTTAAATAGGTTTGTTTAAGTTATTTTTTTTGCAGATATAATATTGTCGCACTTTTAAACTCAAAGAATGACGCGATTTTCAGTTATTGTTTATTATGATGGTAAAATTCGAGAAGATGAAACCGACGTTGTTTTCGTATCAAATGAGCTTGTTAAAATATCATTCAAGAGAAAAATAACTTTTGAGGAGCTAATAACGAAGATTTCGAGGAAGATTCATGTTGGAAGTAACAGAAGAATGTCGTCGTTGCAGTACAGATTTCCAACATCATTGTTGCCATTAACTTATACAGCGTTCGAACTTTCGAACAATGCTGATGTTCAAATGATGGTTGAAGCTCAAAGTAATTATTCAGACGCCGCTATTGAGATGTATGCATATTTTGTTCAAGTGCGTGTTGTTTGGGGTCAATCATTAAGCTTCCACTATGGGCTGGCTGAACAAGTTAATCAAGTTGACAGCCCGACTACAGTAATGTGTAATGATTTTAATGTCATAATGGGGAGACATTCATCCGCAACTCCTTATGATATGTACCGAGGTGGGTCCACGAATAATTCGTATGGAACCACCGCGTCCATTTCAAGGGGAATGCATTCATCTGCTAATTTCTTTGACCATATGGAGATGCCATCGACGCAACCATCTGTGCAGTTTCCATTTGACACGATGGCTTCAAGCTCCAGGGGGAGGCATTCGACTGCGAGCTTTTTTGATCTCAATGTCGATATGTCTTCCAGTTCAAGGGGAAGGCGTGCAAGTAGTACATTCTTCGACCTAAATGTGGAGAGCATGGAGGAACCATCATCTCCGCCAGAAAAACCGCTTCGTGAGCCTGGTGCAGATGGTGCTGAGACTAGACTATTCATTCACCCAGAATCACCGCAATTCAACTCCGATGATGATAAAGTTTCAGGAAATGTGGTACAAACTAACGCTCCTGCACACATGTATGAAGCTGATTATGGTGCAATGTACGGGCCAGAATTTGCGGATATGCCTCATCTCGGTGACTATGGATATTACTCATCAATAAATAACGGTGAGTTATCTTTAGGCATGGAGTTTTCAAGCAAAGAAGAAGCGATGATGGATATCAAAAATTACAATATCCGTAATTCTGTTCAGTCCAGAGTTAACCGATCGAAAACCGAAAAATATGTATGCTACTTTACCCGACGCAAAAATGGATGCAATTGGATGGTTCGCATATCGAAATTGAAGAGGAAAAACAACATATGGGAACTAACAGTATACAACGGTCCTCACACATATTGTGCTGGAGGGGTCTACCAAGATCATCCGAACTTGGACTCTGAAGTGATATGCCAAGCCATCATGCCCATGGTAAAAGCAAGCTCTCATATAGCTGTTACAGTGTTGATTTCAGCTATACAATCGCAGTATGGGTACCCGTCTCCTATAAAAAAGCTTGGTTGGCAAAACAAAATACCATTGTCAAACTTCATGGCGAATGGGATGCATCTTACAACGAACTTCCAGGTTGGTTTAGGCTGGTGCAGACGTTGAATCCTGGGATAATTGTGGACTTCAAAACCTCCTATGCATACCATAATGATCGAGTTCTTCGCGATCGATGCCAATTCTACAGGGTGTTTTCGAGTTACCCACAGTGCGTTAATGCTGCCAAATACTGCAAGCCCGTGGTCCAGATCGACGGGACTTTCTTGTATGGAAAATACAAGCAAGTTTTATTATTGGCAGTTGTCCAAGATGGCAATCGCAACATTCTTCCAGTTTCTTTTACTCTTGTCGAAGGAGAAGATACATATTCTTGGGCTTTTTTCTCCGAAATTTACGTGCACATGTTATCACGAGGGAAAAAATTTGTGTCATTTCAGATCGCAGAGCTGGGATCAAAGCAGCAATGGAGTCTTTGGGTCCAATGTGGCAACCACCCTTTGTCCAACATAGGTATTGTCTCCGACACATTGCTGCGAACTATCATGGAAGGTACAAGAATAATGATGAGCGTCAATTAATTGTGCGCATGGGTAAGTGAAAGCAAGTTAGTAAGTTATACATTTTTTTATCATTTTAATTTTTCAAAGAAATCAAGTTAGTAAGTTATACATTTTTTGATCATTTTAATTTTGCAAAGAAAGCAAGTTAGTAAGTTATACATTTTTTTATCAGGTTACGAACTACTTCCTCGAACGTTTGAATCAATGCTTCAAGATTTGAGGGCGAAGAACGAGGAAGGATACAATTACATTAGCCTCATCGATAAAGAAATGTGGGCGAACGCATATGATGGTGGATATTGATATAGACACATGACGACCAACTTGGCTGAGGCAATCAATTCAACCTTAAAGGGTGCACGTCACTTACCTGTAGCAGCTTTGGTTAAAACTATATATTTTCGTTTGGGGGCGCTTTTTGCGAAGCTCGGGGGACAAGCTCAAACCTGGATGCAAGGCGGTCATGTCTATCACCCTAGATTAGTTGCAGATCTACAGAAAAAAAATTGCTGCATCAAATGGAATGTCTGTAACAAGCTTCTCTAGAAGGCATGAAATGTTTCGTGTCACAGAGTTGCCCTGACCTCTTCAAGGGATTGAAGTTGTGTCGTTAAGAGTAAATCTAAGGGACAGAGCGTGCGACTGCGGGTTTTTTCAAGCTCTGAAGTATCCATGCTCTCATGTGATAGCAGCTTGCTCGCATACACGTCAAGACTATAACCATTTTGTGGATCTCGTATACCTACTATATGAAGTTTTTAAGGTATACGAATTTGAGTTTCCCCCAATAGGTAATGACAAAGACCCTGATGAGGTTCAAGATTGGCTTCCAATTATACCAAATCTGAGTTTATTGAGGGAGCGTGGTCGTCCAAAATCCAATCGAATTCATTGCAATATGGATATTCGAGAAAGATCTAGACAAGATAGAAGATGTGGCCATTATAGAAACTCAGGACACACTAGAAAAACATGTTCACTTCTGTTGTCATCAAGTAACAATTGATGACGAAATGATGTATTTGTTTATCAAATAATAATTCTTGTATTTTAATTTGCATTTACTTCAAGTTAATGTCATTCGATAATCGCTGATGAATATTAAAAAAACGAACACAATTATTAAATTTTATCAAACTAATAACAATTTGATATTTAAATACAACAAACTTACAATAAGAATTAAATAGTAAATGATAACCAAATTACAATAACTGATATTAAATGGTAATAAACAAAATTAACTAAAATATATTAAAAAAAGTCCAACAAATTTAACAAAATAAAGTAAGTATTAAATGAGAAATAATAAAAAAATTACAATTAAACAAAATAAAGTAAATACAAATATAATAAAAAAAATCTATCGATGCCTGCGTCGCGAATGTGTTTCGCATGGCAGTGGCTGTCGGTCTCGAGGAGGATTTCTTCGTATCACTGGTTCTGACTCCTCGCTGTCATCATCGTCGTCGTCGTTGTCGTTACCATCGTCATCGTAATCGTCCTGAGCAGGTACATTAGGTTGATGAGGAGCTGATGATGATGAAGCACCTCCATAGAATAAAGACCCTGGAGTTGTATGACTGACTATCCCACCGGCCTGCGAAAACTGGGAAAACCCATACATCGCTGAGTGTGAAAACTGTACAGGAGGTGTCTGTGCTGCGACCATGGGTGATGAGGATGAACCCGCCAAATATCCAGCATATGAACCCCAAGTCGGATCTACAAACATAGACCCATAATAGCCTCCATGAGGGATCATCTGTGACAGTGGCGGGGTCATAAAATCAAGTGAAGGCGGCAGCGACGACATCTTGTAATGGAAAGGCGATGACGGCATCATATATAGATGCGGCATCATATATGGTTGCGACATCATATATGGCTGTGGTGGCTACTGGGAAGGTCATGCTGGTGCAGCTGAGGATGAACCAGAAGCACCTGCTCTCCATCCACGAGTCGGGGGACGATGGTGCTGTGTCGGTGAACATCTCTGTCGACGTCGTGGAAAGGTCTGCCCTCGTGCATCCTCGGGAAGAAGAAATGGTTTCCCGTTACTGTTGAACCACTCATAATAATCCTCAGCATACATCAAGAAGTCAGTAAAAATGGGCTCTCTACGTGGAAGACGCCGATGTCGATCCTCCCACAACACGACCCACTCATGATGCCTCACCAGCCAATCTGTATCTGTCTTGCCGCGTCTATCTAAGCTATGCAACTCGTCCATATTGCGAGATGCTTCCGGAATTGGTTGAAAACAACCAAACTGCCGGAGCACGCGATCAGTGGAGTGCCACTCGACGGTCGCATAACAGATCAGAGGGACCATCTCCATCCAAACATCTGATGGACCCCTCAACTCAGGTGGGATCACCGCCCTCACATCATCAGTAGAATATGACACCCATTCAAACTAAAACAAATAATATATAATTTTTATCAAAATAATAATCTAATTATATAACTATAATCTAAAATCGATTTTTAAACATTAAAATTCATACCTGTGTGCCAACCTTCTGATTGATTAGCACCCTAATTTTTTCTAAATCATCAGGTAGCTCCTGATGATTTTTCCTATAAATAGACCACCTATTCAAGGAAAAAAATTTGTTATACGATGTATAAAATTATTAATATACAAAATCAGTTTTATAATTACCTCAGAAGTAGTGGAAATACGAATGAGTTCTTCACACGGGACATAAAAAGGGCAATCGATACCATGCCAAAGACTGCAGCAGCATGAGACATCCGCCGATAGCATTACGCCTGTAGTCAGTGGCTTCACACATTTCCCTGTACAGTAAAGCCAAAACTGCCGAGCCCCAACTGAATGATCCGACGAGACGAAAGTCGCTAAGATGTTGCAACCACATGTAGTGAACTAGGTTGCGCGATTTGTCCGGCATCAGCAACCCTCCTATCAGCTGCAGTATGCATGCCCATGCATACATCTTAACCTCATCCTCAGAGGCGTATGCGCTCAACTCCCGAAAATTGGCATCTAACCAATTTAACGGTATCCTACATTCGATAAAATTTTCCGGGACACGTCATAGACTATCCCGACACAAAGTAGTCCAAGAGCCGAAAGCTATCTCCGATATCACATCTCCATCCACCGGAAGCCCCAGGTGCATAGAAACATCCTCAAGCGTGATCGTGCACTCTCCGCACGGAAGATGGAATGTGTGGGTCTCTTACCTCTACCACTTTACTAAGGCAGAAATCAGGTTTGGCTCTATCTTACAGTGACCCTGATATCTACCTATGTAACCGAATCCAGCCTCTATTAAATACGACAAGACACAGTTGGGTATCACTAACTTAAGATTCCTAATAAAAGGAACTAATACACGGTCCTTCTTCTAAAAATAAATAATTACAAAAATTAATTCTTAATCTAATAATCATGCATTAAATAAATCAACTAATTATTACTAATAATTTAAATTAAATTAAAACGTTAAAATGTTACCGTATCAACAAAGTGTCGAGATATTTAATTCTTAATCTAATAATCATGCATTAAATAAATCAACTAAATATTACTAATAATTTAAATTAAATTAAAACGTTAAAATGTTACCGTATAAGCAAAGTGTAGAAATATATGATTTCCATCCGAGCGAAATAGACTACATTCCATTATATATCTGTAAAAGAATTATATTAGTAAAATATTAAATAAAGTAAAACACTTAAATAAATTAAATACATAATAATAAAAATATTATAAAATATATCTTAAAAAGAAAGTATTTGAGAGAAATTTAGAGAATTTGAGAGAATTTGGTGTGATAAAAGTGATTGAGGATGAGGATATTTATAGGAGGATTGGAATGTGGAGGGTGGGTATATAGGGGTATAGCTTGTCCTTCACCGCACTATACCCCACGTGTCAGATACCCATGTATAGCGCGGATCAGGGGCGCGCTATACCCATGTGACGCCAGATCACCGTATTTCGCGAGGCAGGGGGCGTGCTATACCCACGTGGCGCCAAATCAGCGTATAGCACAGTTCAAGGGACACGCTTTACTACTACAAGTGTTAGATCAAAAAATATAATCTGACCGGTGTTAAATCGATAAATATACCGATTATCGTTGATTTTTCGAAAAAATCGCCGATAAAATAAATCGGCCTTAAACCCTAATATTTACACCAAACGAGCTCGATCTTTTCATCACTTCTTCCATCCTCATCCAGCACTTTCTTGCTCCCGTTGCTTTGCAATTTTTCCTTTCTTCTCAAAAACCCTTAGTTATCCTTTTTCGTACATTTTGATGGCGGAGGAAGAGGCCATAGCAGCTGCACCCAGCCCCGCCCCTTCCGATCATAAACGGACACTTGAGGATCTCGAACCTCTAGATCCCCCTGTCGACATGCCTCCTGGCTCTCCTGTAGACCCTGATGCGGAAGATAACGATGTGACGCCATCTGATTCGTACGACGCCAAACGCCCTAGGTTATACGAGGATAATACCGACGCCTTGGGTAATGAAAATGTTCTTCGTTCTTTGATTCTCTTTTGATTTATATTCAAATTTAGGAATGTATTTATGGGATTAAAACGACAGCTCTAGAGTTTCCTTGCTGTTTTCTACGATTGTTGTTTTGGAAAATTAAAGATGTTTAAGATTGTGAGATTTTATGTGACAGGTGAACATGAAGTGAGAAAATTAAGGCTGCATTTAGTTGTTATTTATTTTGTTACTTATTTTTTTCTGTTATTTGCATTTGCTTGTTTGAAAATTGCTAAGAGTAAGAGCCAATGTTTGGAGCCTATGATTGAAATGTAAAAATGCATTATGTGAATTTAGGAAAGTATGAAGTTAGTTTTTAACAATTGAAAATGTGGTTTTAATAACCTCTATTTTTTTCAACTTTGTGCAGAAAGCAAAAAGAAATAGCTAAAGCAATCACAAAAACATAACATGGTTCAGAACTAGATTATCTCATTGCTGCTTTACATTTCTAACTGTTCTGATTCTATGATTCTTATGCTTAACATAACAGCCAGTGAGAATGAGTTCCAGGCTGAAGAATCGAATGAGCCTGCAAAGGAGGAAGAAGAGGCTCCTCAGCAAAATGAGGTTAACAAGAAAGCAGAGGATGATGACTCTTCCCCAAAGGAGGCTCATGATACTGTACAACCCGAGCAAGTTGAAGGAACTACGGAGGAAACAGGTCTGCAAGTTGAAGGAACTACGGATAATGGTCAAGAACCCACTAAAGAGGATAATGAGCAACCTGATGATTTGCCCCAGCAGGAGGTTGATGATGGTTCAACTATTAGTCGCAAAATGGAGGTTCCTAATGCTAAGGTATGCTGGCTAAATTTTTTTAAGCTGTCTCATTGTGAATTGTTTTACTGGGTGTAAACTAAGTTGATTTGGTTGTAGTCTCTTTAAACAAACATTAAGAAATCCTTTTGTACTATAATCCATTTATCATGTCATATAAAGAGAACTGATCCAATGTCAACTTTTCCATCCATGCTAGGATCTCTCTTTGTTCCCTTGCTCTCTGAAGCTCAATGTTCATCTTTTAAATCTCATCTTTTGAAAGGAATCATTATGTGTCTAAACTCTAAACTTCATTAAATGTGTATTCTGCATTTTTTGTTCAATGTTTGGTGACCTCTACCTTTTTCTTTGTTATCCAAACAATGCCTTACCACCTCTTCATTATTGCAAAACTTTTTGTTATCCAGACAATGTTACTTCCTGTTTATTACACTGCCACCACACTAATGATCATTACTTCAGGGCTCATGATTTAATAGAAAAGCTCAACTTGATTTTTTTTGGGAAGTATGTGTTGTGATTTTATTTCTTATATGCTCATGCAGGTTGGTGTTCTCATTGGTAAGGCAGGGGATACTATAAGGTACTTGCAATACAACTCGGGTGCAAAAATTCAAATTATGAGGGATGCAGATACTGATCGGGATGCACCTACAAGACCTTTGGAAATAATTGGAACTTTAAGTAGCATAAACAAAGCTGAGAAGCTTATAAGTGCTGTCATAGCAGAGGTTGTACACTGTTTATGAAGTTTGTTTATTCATATCTAGCTCCATGCGTTCATCATTTACACTGTCCTCCCCCCTTTCTACTGCCCAAATTTATACCCTTTGTTTCTTGTATTAATTTGATGTTTTTATTTGTTTCAGGCTGAAGCTGGGGGTTCTCCTTCCCTAGTAGTCAGGGGCCTTGCTACCACACAGGCTACTGGTGCTGCTGATCAAATTGAGATACAAGTTCCAAATGAGAAGGTTTTCATTTTTCTTTGTTTTACTGTATGTTTACCTGGAAGCACTGGCATATAGGTGCTCTCACATTATCACACCTGTTAAAAGATGCCTTAGTCTTTACGGTGGTGTATGCTACCTGACCTGTTTCAGGTTGGTTTAATCATTGGTAGAGGTGGGGAAACCATAAAAGGACTGCAGACAAGGTCAGGGGCTCGAATTCAGGTTGTTGATATTTATATGTCACAGTAAGTGTTGAAGCTATTGCAAAACTGGTCCTGCCAAAGCTGACAATTTGATGTCTTTTAGTTAATACCACAACATCTCCCAGAAGGGGATGGATCAAAAGAAAGAACGGTGAGGGTAACTGGGGATAAGAAGCAAATTGAGATTGCCAGAGAAATGATAAAAGATGTTCTGAACCAGGTTTGCTTTTTTTTCCCTTGCATCTTTTTCTTTATAATTTATTTTCTAGTAGTATTTTAACTGCACCCTGTGTTCTTTTTTTTTCTTCAAATATTTTGTCGCTGGAGCTGAAGTATCTACTTCGAAAAAGTGGCTTGGTTGTTGAATTACCTGCATTGAATATGTGTGATATTTGTTCTCCCAATCCATTCATTTGCCGTGTTCTGTTTCAATTTTAACTATATCTTTGTTCAGATGGCATGAAAACATTTAAGATATGTCTGAGGCTAGTCAAAACATTTCATGAGTAATATATTATTGTTTGTGTAGTTCTGGATTTCTCTTGTATACTTCCTGGTAGATTTGACAGGCATGAATTAGGGAGGTGGGAATTACCATAAATATTTGTTACTTTTGATCTCTCAATCCAATCATTTGTTTAGTTTTGCTTTGGTGCATCCAATGTTAATTATATTTTGTGCTGATGTCTTAAAAACATCTAAATATCTAAGGTATGACTGAGGCTGGTTATTACATGTCAGTTTGTCACGATCAAGATATTATTGTTTGAGTAGGTTGGATATATCTTGCATGCTTTCCTTGTAGATTTCATGGATGGGAATTACTGGAGTTGCAAAGGTGGTTATCTGGAGGTTTGGTTGTTGTGGTTGTAACTTAATCTGTCATTCTCAGCATGTGCCAGAAACATTTGATAGGATCACATGTATTCCATGTAAATGACATTGTTTCAAGAACATATGCTTGTGGAATTGGATGTGTGGGTTTTTTCCCTTCTCTTCACAAATAAAATATGCCCTTTATGATATAGGATTTAGCGGAGGATTACATAAATTGGTACTGAAGCTTTAAACCCTGAAGCAGGGTTAGAATGTTTTCATGTATCTATTTGGCTATTATCTGAATAGGACATTTGGAAACCCTCTAACCTTGTTTGTTGAATTTATTATCTTCACCATTGGTGTGTGGATGATTTTCCTTTTAGCAAATTTCAAAACAAGTCTCATATTGTATTGAGTGGGTAAGTCTATTCCTTCAATGGATTTGCCAAAGCAACCAATCAGTTATAGTGAACTGCATTTTCTTCTATGAGACATTGTCATCCGACTTAATGAGGACTTACTTACTGGGAATGAGTGTTTTTTTTCCTGATCAAAGAGAATGAACTATCCATTGCCAACATCACTTGAATGCTATTAGGATCATAATATATTCAATCCAAGATGTCAGTTGCCATGCTTTATTTATGTTGAAGGTGCCAATTTCGAACTCGTTGGCTTTAAAATCTGCAGATTTTGGGTACCTTTTCCATGGGGTGAGCATTGCTTTCTTGGTGTAGCAATAGACAACCACTGTTCCCTTTCATCCAGTGAAGAGAGGTATCTGGCATTAAACTCACATTGCAAGATGTTAATAGTTGGTAAGATTGCTTTGAGACTTGAAAATTAAAAGTAATATGTAGTGAGACTGCATGAGAGGCCTCCATGTTCTATGCTTGAGATGTGTTGGAAGAAGTACCCCTGGTGAAGTCATCATGTCTGAAATGTATGTTGGATCAGTACCATCTTGAATGTTGTTTGATACCAGCTGAAAATATGATACTTTGTCCTCTAATGTGTATAGAGATGTACTAAAGTTTATTGCTATAAGATCAGAAAAAGGATTGACGTTGTGTTACATTTATGTCATCATGCTACATCAATTGGATGACATGATCTTTATGTTAAGTCATAACATATCGTTGTTGTAGTTCAAGTAAGATGCCTGAAAGATATGGAATTCAAATTAATCTTGTCCAACTCATGAAACCTCATCCTTTCCCTTAATTATTAATTAACATTTCTCTGTAGTCTTTGATTATTGGTTAGCTCTGATGTTCTTTTGGCCCTTTGTTATGGAGTGCATTACAGGTTGGTGAGATTTGTCTGTTTAGAGATTATGTCAAATAGGTGATCATATTTGTTGCCTTGCTTCCAAAAAAGTTTGATTCAAGATGTGGATTGGCAGACACCTCTCAGCTTTTGCTTATTTCTCATTTTTGTTGACATAGTATTGTTCTCATCATTGTTTCTGTTTGGTACATGCTTCCTGTTTTAACCAAGAGGTGCCTTGTGACCTGTTTGGTTTGTTTAACATGGTTAAACATGATATAGGGACTTGCTTTCTACCTTTTTTATTTTTTAATTTTTCCCCAAAATTGGTGAATGAAATTCCTTATTTTCTAACTTACTATTTTGTTTAATGTATAGAATGTCAGGCCATCACCTCATTCTGGTAGTTTCAATCAGCAGGGCTATAGACCTCGGGGAACCGGTGGTCCACCTCAGTGGGGTCCCCGTGGCAACCCATCTCAGATAGGGTCATATGATTATCAGCAACAGGGACCATATCCATCTCAAAACTCTCATTATCAACCTCCTTATGTTGGCTACCCTTCTCACCAAATGGCCCCAAGGAGCAACTTTGGTCCTAGTTGGGAGCAGGGGCCTCATAACATGCAGGGACCTCCACAGAGTGGAGGTTATGATTACTACGGTAGGCAAGGAGGGGTGTCTAATCCACATTTGACTTCAATCCCTGGGCATGGATCTGGGCCTGCTCCTGCACCATCTCAGTCAAATTATAATTATGGACAGCCTCGTGGTCCAGGAGATTATGCACATCCACCACCCTATTCTCAAGCCGCTCCCCAGCATGGCTATGGACATGGATATGAAGAAAAGAATGAAAATCATACCCCAGTCCAGCATCCTTATGGAGGATATGGGTCTACTCAGCCAGGATATGCACAGCCAGGTCCTCAACCTGGGTATGCCCCTCAGCAGCAATATGGTAAGCCACCATTATATGCCATGCAATCACAAGGACCTCAAACATATGGTCCTCCAACCAATCAACCTGGAGAAGTACCATATCAAGGTCCAACTGTGCAGTCATATGGTTTGAATGTGCCTCCACAGCAGCAATACCCATGTACATCAAGCGGGCCCACACAGCAAAGCTATCCTCCTTATGGCTCTGCACCACCTAGTGATGGATACAGTCAGCCTCCATCTGTGACTGGCCAGGCTTATCCGCAGCAAGGTAGCCAGCCTGTTGCTGGGTACAGTCAGCCAACCGCTTATGCTCAACCAAGTACTGCTGGGTATGGTCAATACCCACCATCACAACAAGGTTACTCTGAACAGCAACAAGCTCCAAACAATGCAGGTTATGGTTACCAAGGGGCCCAAGATTCTGGTTATGGTGGTGCCCCTGCTGCAACATATGGTGCACAGCCAACCAGTGGCCAAGCCACTTACGCTCAAACAACAGCAGCTCAACCTACCTATGATCAGTCTGTTCCCCAGTCTGGGGGTTATGCTGCACCAGCTGCAGCACCAGGTAGTGCACCTGCCGGGTATGGAAAAACAGTATCACCCCAGCCTGGATATCTGCAGTATGATTCAACCCAGATGTATGCTGCACCGCGTTGATGTGGCAGTCTTCCTGTATTTGTTTGTGTTGGTTAATGTAGTCGTGTACCTGTCATTTTCTAGATAATGAATTTTATTTTTTTAAGCTTTCTAGTCTAGATGTTTATTTCTTACTGTTAGTGGTGCCAGGTTAGTTATTGTTCTTTAGTTTTGTTTTCATGTTCTTGGGATAATATTACCAACGAAATACTAGCTAACTTTGTTATTAATGATATTGTTCCTTTATTTTTGATATCAGGGTTATTCATCTACTTGTGTCAAAGTGAGTTTGATAAATAATTTCTGCGCAGACGGCCTCTACAAGATGGGGTGTTCGCTGGACTAGGACCTCGTAGGTTTTTAGCTCACCACCGGCCGAAATCCTGTCTATGTTGAAAGTGGATAGCAGAGGAATCACCTTTCCAAGAGGCTTCTCCCTACACTAATATTTACTTTTCCCTTTTTTTGTAACAAAAAAAAAGGTCAGTTTGATAAATAATTAATTTATATATTTGAACTATTGATGCATTTAATTTTGATGTTAAAACGCCCCCTCATCTTAGCGTGTATCAAGAAACTTTGCTGTTAAAACAATAGCCCAGACAAGATGCTATACATAAACCAAATCAGGAAAGGAGATAAACCTCTATTTCTGTATATTCTGAAGCATGAAACAAATTAACTCAATCAGCTATATCAAATTGTTTGCCAACTTTCTTCGTCCGCAATATAGTGGAAAATTCCTTTTTTTTGGATAAGCAATATATTCATTCTACATTCCAAAAAAAACGCTGCAAAGCTATAACAGGATAACCATCCAACTAACAATGACACTCCCCCCCATTAGATCCCAAATCAAGGTCCACAACCAATCAGAAACAAAAAGAATAACCAACACAAAACCTATACAAAATAAGCCACATAAAACCAAAAGAATCATTAGAGGATACCCATTCAATACAAAGCAACAGATTCATCCCTTCTAATATGTTAATGTAGCAACCAAGAAATTTAGAGCATACAACCTCCCTAATAACCTCAACTAAGGCCTCAGGTGAACGATTAGCCCCACAAAAATGTCTATGGTTGCACTCGTCCCAAATGTAGTAAAGAAAATCAGTCCAAGCTATCTTCAAAACACACACAATCAAAGACTTATCCTTAAGATTGCCAACCACCCAGTCCAGGAGGCCATCCCACCCCTGATTTACCCAAGCAATATGCAAAACTGGAGTATCTTGACCCACATCATGCAAGCATACTGAAATTCCCCAAAAATGTGATTCCTAGATTCCTCACTAATACCACACAATGCACACAAACTATCAACAAGCAATCTCATCCTAGTAAGTCTATCCTTAATAGGAAGTCTGTCCAAGATAATCATCCAAGCCACAATTGAGAACTTTGGAATGTGCATAGGGAACCAAATGACATGTTGCCATTTGACCTTGTCACTGATTTCCTCATAAATCCACCAACCATTAACCTTCTTCCAATCAAGACCCCCAGCAAAGAGAGTCCCAACATCCTCCTTCAATTTTAACAACTTTTTCAACACCCAGCTGTAATGAGATTGAAAAATAATATCCATAAAGCTATGACCCTTCAGAGCATGCTCCTTGATCCAGGCTACCCCTCTACTACAAGTATGCACTTGATAAGCTACAAACAGCAAGCCCTGCTCCAACAAGATAAATCCTTAACCCCAAGCCACCTTCATACTTCAAGCTGCAAATTTGACTCCAACTAACCCTTGCACCTTTCGCAGAAGAGTCATTTCTCTTCCAGAAAAACCTCATACATAGTTACTCAATCATTTTAATCACACCTTTAGGAAGTATCAACTGTCTACACAAAAAATTAGAGATGCTACACAACACAACTTTAATGAGCTGCAATATCCCCCCATAACTAAGCATCCTATGGGATCTCACACTAAGCTTGCCCCTAATTTTCTCCAGCAAAGAAAGACAATCCTTCTCAGTAAGTTTCCTAGTAATCAAGGGCACACCAAGGTGCCTCACAGGGAGTTAACCCATCTTGAACCCAACAACCTCCTGAATACCTTCCAAGCCCCTATCATTCATCCTATAAGAAAAAAAAACTCAGTTTTTGCAGCATTCAATCTGAGACCAGACGTCTTATAATACACCTTCAAAACACTCTTCACTCCAAGAACAGAATTAACCTAACCATAACAGAAAATCAACATATCATCAGCAAAGAAAAAGTGAGTTAGGGAAACTTTTTTGCATTTTGGATGATACCGAAAGATCCCCTCCTTCGCAGCAGCATCTAAGAGGTGGGAAAGAACATTCATCACCATCACAAAAAGGTAAATTGACAAAGGGTCACCTTGCCTCACACCCTTCCTCTCACTAAAATGACTAACCAAACTTCCATTAAGAACCAAAGAAAATTTGGAAGCAGTGGCACAAGCCTTGATCCACCTCCTGAAACCTTCAACTAATCCCATAGAAACAAGAACATTCATAAAAAACTCTCAACTGACTGAATCAAAAGCCTCCTACAAGTCAATCTTGAAAGCACACCTAAGAGAAAGAGACTTTCTTGCATACCCTCTCACAATCTCCTGAGGCAGTAAGGTAATATCAACTATGTTCTTCCCTTTAATGAAAACATATTGACTAGGAGAAATTATCCCAGGGAAGAATCTAGCCAATTTGTTCACAAGGATATTACTGATGGTCTTGTAGACAACTGAACAACAAAATATTGGCCTAAAACCTTTTTCCCTACTAGCATTAGAGACCTTATGGACAAGGACAATTATAGTGGTATTAAAATCAGGCAGCAACACTGCTTCTTGAGAAAAACATATTGACTAGGAGAAATCATCTCACTAGACATGTTGTCAAAATCCTCTAATTTGATCCCACAATCATAAAAAAGGAGTCCAATAATATTTTACTTCCTCTTCCTCATAATAGTAGAATGAAAGAATCTAGTAGACTTATCCCCTCATTCAGCCAATGAACCTTGGCTTTCTGCTTATAGAAGGAGGCTTCAGCAGCCTCAAGATCCCTTAGCTCATCTTGAAGCAAGTTCTCTTTCACCAAATCTTTTCTATCAATATAGTTAAGATTATATAGCTGAACATGATCCAGTTGCTCCTTTTTTTCAACAACTTTGCCAGAAATATCATCAAAATGCTTAGCATTAAGCTCCTTAAGTTTGGGCTTCAACTTTCTCATCTTACCAAACAACCTCTTCATAGCATTACCCCTTATGTCCTCCTATCAAGAGCTGCACATAATCTCCTGATAATCTGCATGAGATGTCCAACAATTGAAAAACTTAGAAAGGCTTAGGTTTGTTAGAATGATTATCCCCATGAAGCTTCACCAAACCAAGACAATAGTCTGAGACCCCTTGTGCCATAAATTCAATACAAGACTCAGGCCACTCAATTAACCATTGCTCATTGACCAAGACCCTATCCAACTTACAAGCTAAAAACCTCATCTTATCTGTTATACCAAGTGAATAATGACCCCAAATAAGGGTGATCCACTGGGCCCAAATAAGTTAAACACTCTTTAAAATCCAACATGTTAGTAGATTTATGAGGCCCAAGAACCTCATAATTAGAACTTTCCTCAGCATAAGTGATCATATTGAAGTCACCTCCAATCACCCAAAAAGAACTCCCTACCAACCCCTCAGCTTCTCTCAACTGCCTCCATAGGTTCTTACGCACCATCCTAGAATTACTCCCATAAACAGTAGTAAGAACAACCCTATAACCTCTAACATCCCCAACAATAGTCATAGGCTAAGCTACACTTTGAAATTCAAATGCTTCTTCCAAAAAATCCACAAACTAACATTATCCACAACAATATAATTAGAACAACAATGCCAATCCTCAATGAACTTAGAAACACAATCATTCATGTTAATATTCCTAATCCTAGTATGCATCAAACACACAACATCCATTTTCAGCTTATTAATCCTACTCATCACTTTAACTTGCTTAAGAGGATTGTTAAATTCTCTTATGTTCTAAAAACAAACATTCATTAAGAAGAAGCAGACCCGCTGATTAGCGTTCTAAGTTTTCATTTTTTACTTATTAATTTTCCTATTTTATAGATTTATTATTACTGATTTGGGTTCTTTTTTACTTATTTTCGTGTAGTGGTATACTTTCTGGAATTAGCAGTAAAAGGGCGCTATTCACATTTTTTTCATTATCCGACCGCAGTTCAGGACATAGGCACTACGTGGTTCGACGTGACAGTTTCTAGAAGGTCCAGTCAATGCGAGGAACATTCTAGAGAAAAATCAGTTAGCACGATATGAGGAAACTTTTTAGGAAATTTGGATTTGAATTTAAAACTTATGTAATTATCTTTTAATTTGTTTTAATTTTCATGTATCTTAGGAATTTAAAAAGCCTATAAATACCCTCCTTGGGGTCTTAGACCATCTTCATATTGAGTTTTCACTTTGTTATTTTGTTTTCATTTTAACCAAATTTTTTTTTATTTCATTCTCTTTCTTTACTTTACGTTTTTTTATTGTTTTCCAAAATATGCTAAGTATGGTTTTTACCATGCTTAGCTAAGCTTTTTTATTTAGCCAAGAGCTACCGATGATTTAATTTCAAACGTGAGAATTGATATAGCACTTAATACCCTTTAGGTTACATTCTCAGCTTTCTGGAAATTTAATTTGGCAATCAGCCTTAATTTCAAAAATCAAAACGCTTTCAAATCAAAAAATCGATATTGGTATAGATGTTGTTCTGATTTTTTGGGAGGAAGAATCGACTGGTAGTTAGTTCAACTTCCTGGGAACACACTTAGTGGTGGTTTGCTAAGGGAAACTGAGATCGAATTCAATTCTCAAAGAGACAACATAATTCGAGTTGGGTTTTTCCAAAACATAATCTGATTATTTCTAACGAGAATAGTTGTGGTTAGTCCATTCAAGGACAGAATTTCAAAGAGTGACTTGAGAAGATCGTTTACCAAAGAGAAAAGCAAGTTACAAAGGTTGTGCCTTGTAGACTGTAACCGACATGAATCCCAGAGTGAAATCCTTTTCGATGTTCATAAGGAATTGAAACAAAGCTAGCATGATGTTATTTTTCTCATCATTG